CCCCGGGGCCGTCACAGACCGATCCAGCTCGAGAGATGGCGCAGAAAGACGGGGTCCAGGGCTCGGGTCGGGATTGTTGTTGCGATGTTGGTCTTGTTGAAAACCTCGGATCTCAGGGAATAGTGTGTGTGTGTCCGCCTCGGGGGCGCGCGTCCGACCTGAACATCCAGTACAGACGTCTTGCAATCTAACGTTTCCCGAGCGGTGTGGCCAGAGAACGCCCGCCACACGGAGCTTAGGCTGCAGGACTTCTCGGCGCGCGCGTCGCCGGAGTGAGAGTGACCTGTGGCGCGCTGCTTGCCGATCGCTGCGCGCGATGCGGCAGCAGCGGCCGGCCTGCGTACTTGGGTTCAGACGCCCCCCCCCCTTAGACACCCCGAAAGCCGCGCCCCAGAGATCACTCCGGTGACGTGTCACTCTGCCGAGTGGCCGGCTGCCGTGGTGGGCTTGCTGTTGGTCTGGAGCTGGAGGAGGTCGCTGAGGCCGGGGAGCCGCTTGGAGCAGCAGTCGGGCCCCTCCTCGTTGGACGCCCGAAGTATGTGCGGCAGACATGGGTGCGATGCCCAACAGCTGGTGTTGTTGAAAACCGACAGCGGCCGCTGTTGGGCAGGATGCCTTCGGGCAGGAATGGGCCACGTCCGCGGCGACACCGATAGCGAGTCCTGTTCAAAATGAACAAGAACTGCTGTTGGTCTTCGTACCCATTCTCTCTGTACCCATTTCGATTGTGCCGACTTGGCGGCGAGACCGGAGGGGAGTGAGAAGGAGAAGCCCAGCTCAGAAGGCTCGGAAGTCCCTCCCCCTTGTCAGGAGTTTCCTGAACCTTCCCTGAAGACACAGAACGCCTCTCAGAAGGCGCGAGGGCTGCTGAGACGTCCCGCCGCCATCTGAGCAGAACTTCCCCTCCTCGGCGCCGCGCAGGCACGCCCCAGCGGCGGGGCGCGCGAAAGCGCGCCCCGGCGGCGAGGCGCGAGCGACGGGGGGGGTGCAGGCAGGATCTGGAGCAAAGCCAGCGGAGGCCACAGCTTGGCCTTCGGGGGGCGTCGGTGATGCGGTGCGTTCCGCCGGCTCCCCCCCCCCTTCGTGATCCGGGCCCTCCTCCGGGGGGGGCATTGGGACGATTTCCGGGGCACCGGGACTCACTCGACTCTCGGGGGCGCGCAAACATCGGTCCGTGGATCTGGCGCGCGGTCGCCAAATCCATGGATCGGGGGAGGTGCCCTCCCCAAAAAGCGGCCGGTGCCGCCTCGCTCTGGCGGCGGAAATCCGCCACTTCACATGGAAACGGGACCCGTTGCTGATCCATGTTTGCGAGACCCACGCCCCCTTGGTCCATGATTGCGGTCGCCAGAGACTCCCCCCACGAACCTGGCCGACTCTTACTGGCCGACTGGCCGACTGGGAAAGATCTCTCCGGAACCTCCAGAATCGTCCTTCTTCCAGGGGGGCGGGGACTCCTCAGAGGGCGCGAGGGCTTACGTATTCGGAGAAGTCCCCCTCGCTCTCCGCCCCTCCCTGGCGAGCGCGCAGGGGCACGGCCGGAGGAGGAGGAGGAGGAGGAGGAGGAGGAGGAGGAGGAGGAGGAGCAGGAGGAGGAGGAGGAGGAGGAGGAAGAGGACGACGACGACGACGACGACGACGACGACGACGACGACGACGACGACGACGACGAGGAGGGACGCACATCGGCGGCGAGCCGGGGGTGCCCCTCGCTCGCCGTCCCTCCTTGGCGGGCGCGCAGGGCCACGGCTGGACATGCAGGAGGTCGCTGGGGCCCGGCAGCGCCGGCGGCGCGCGCCCGGCGGGCCCCCAGAGGCAGCAGACGTCGTCGTCCTCGGAGTCGTAGCTCTCCACGTCTGGCCCCAGGTCCGGGCAGGAGACGTCATCGGAGATCTATCCAGAGATCCGGCGCTCCAGCAAAATTTGGAGCGGCGGGTTTGTGGCCGCTTTCGGACTCTGGGGGCCCTCGCCGGGCCTCGGGACCCGTCAAAAACCGACTCAGGACAAAAAACCGGCTCTGGGGAAGTGGTCCAGACCTCCGGGGCGCACATCGGCGGCGAGACTGGGCGGGAAGTGAGAAGGGGATGGCCATCTCAGAGGGCTCAGAAGTGCCCTCGCCTTCTGAAAAATGTTCTACGTCTTCCCGGCAGACACAGAAAACTTCTCACTTCCCCCCGTCGCTCGCCGCCGACCCACGCATCGGACAACTCGGAGCGGCTGGGCGTCTGGGCGGTCCTGGCGGGCCCCTGCGCCGTAGGTCAGCAGGCAGGGGCTGGAGCTGGTCCGCCGCAGCGGCACGCTGACAGCGCCGTCCTCGGCGTCGCCGTCGGCCAGCAGCTCGAGGAAGGTGTTCCTGACGGTCGTCCTCATGCTCGTGATGGTAGTCGTGGCAACCGCAGGTGCCATGAAGACGGCGTAAGCCCAGACCTCCGCGGATAGGACGGCTTCCGCCCGGCGGCTTTTCCACCCACCTCGGCGTCCTCATGCTCGTGATGGTAGTCGTGGCAACCGCAGGTGCCATGAAGACGGCGTAAGCCCAGACCTCCGCGGATAGGACGGCTTCCGCCCGGCGGCTTTTCCACCCATCTCGGCGTCCTCATGCTCGTGATGGTAGTCGTGGCAACCGCAGGCAGGAGAGCCCAGAATCGAATCGATAAGTCGGATCGGCGATCGAAATGGATCGGATCGGCGGAACTCGGCAGCCGAGTCGGGAAAAGTCGAATCGGTAGACATCGGCAGGTTCGTAGGCCTCCATTGAGAAATCGGATCCGAAATCGGAATCCGAAGTCGAATCGAATCGGAATCGGAATCCGTTGAAATCGAATCGAATCGAATCGGAGGAATCGAAATGAGCCCTGGCAGGTGCCATAAAGACGGCGTAAGCCCAGACCTCCGCGGATATAGGACGGCTCCCGCCCGGCGGCTTCTCCGCACCCCTCGGCCGCCGGGGGCCCCTTCTCGGGCCGGGGGGCGTCACGGATGGACCCTGGACGGGCACCCCTCGGGGAAGGGCTCGCGGGACCGCTGGGGCCGCGGAGGGGGAAAAATCATACCGGCGGACGTCGGGGAATGCTATGGAGCGGGAGTTGGATGTCGCTTCCGTGAAGGGCGCGGTCCTGGCGCACGTGTTTCCGCGGCGGACAGGTCGGAGTGCAAGCCACACCGGCCGTGTCTTGAGCCAGAATGGGTACGGTGAGGCTTCCTCGGCGTCTTGGCAAGCTCGTTGACGCTGTGCAGCACTTATACAGATGGGGGGGGGCAAGTCCCTCTCAAAGCGGAGGTACCGCTGGAAAGTTCCCTAATCGTTCTTGTCTTTGCCCTTGTAGGCATTGCTGACTGTGGATCCCTCACAGCATTGAATCTCGTCTGAACGGCGGGCCGCGGGGCGTTCGTCTGTCAAGCGGGCCCACTCCCGCACTCGGACTCATGAACACTTTCATCGTCTTATGTGACGAGGGGGCTCAGGACGCGATTGTGTTCTTGCCTCACCGTTTTATGCACATGTGGCTTGCTCTGGTCCTCCATCTTCCTCCTCCTTCTCCTCCTCCTCCTCCTCCTCCGCAGTCTCCGCCTCCTCTCCATAGTCCCTCGTTCCTCCTCTTCGTCCCTCCTAAATTCTCGCCGCCGCCGCCGCTACGACTGCCAGTGACCCCTGGCAAGCTGCGAGGTTTGCCGCTCGCGCGCACGCAACGTCCTCGCGCAAGCAGCCCCTCGACGGGGCAGAAGAGAGGACGGATGCGGCCCGGCGAGTGAGGCGATACGGTCGGGAACTTCGGGACAGCGTGTCGCACCGCCGGCCCCAGCGACGCGCCATGTCTTGCGAGTGGATAGCGTGTCGCTCCGCTCTGCGGGGCGGGAGGCTGGGAAAAGCTCGGGACGTTGACGCCCGGGGACTGGAAGGTGGATAGCGTGCCGCGCCGAAGCGTGGTGGGCCAGGACCGGCGGAGCGACACGCTATCCAGAAGCTCCCGACCGTCAGGAGGTATGGCGGGGAGAGGGCGAGGAGGAATCCCGCTCCCGAGCGCACATGGTGACATACTCCCCCGACATGCCCTGCACCGACCGCGCACTGCGCTTCAGTTACACAGGAGGGGGCTGCTCCTCCTGCCATACGCTGGCCGGTATTGAACCCCTTCGAACCAGAAAGGCCATACATGGACAATCGAGGTTTTGCTCGTGCTCCTGCCCCTCCTGCCCCTCTGCATCCGCCTCCGCATCCCGCTCATTTCTCATCCCTATCGCCCTCCCCTCCCTGCTCCGCAGGCACCCCGCACTTCTCCGTATGCAGGCATCCTCCTCCTCCTCCTCCTCCTCCTCCTCCTCCTCCTCCTCCTCCTCCTCCTCCTCCTCCTCCTCCTCCTCCTCCTCCTCGTGCCCCCCCCCCCTCGTCCCCTCGTCCCCTCGCCGCCCGCCCCTGCGCGCCCCTCGGCGCCGCAGCCCGCAGCGCCAGGAGCGTGGCGACCCTTCGAGCGGGGCGGCGAGCGCACGCCCTCTCATGGGTAGGCGCGCCGCTCCCGGCGGGGCAGCTCCGCGGGGCTGGTGGATCCAGCGAGGCAAATGGGCTGTCACATGGGTATCGCATCCTTGCCATGGGCGGTGAGGCAGTTCACGCCGAGGCATAAACGAGAGGCCCACGCGTCGTCCGCTCGATGGCCTGGTTGTGACCTGTTTCGGCTGGCTTGGACATGGCCCAATTGCAAGAAGCGCCGTGGGCTGAGGGGGCGATCCAGGACTGTTGCGGGAACGATCAGCTTGGCGGGGTAAGCGACCCTATCTCCGTGGTGTTGGCAGCGGTGATGCTGGGAGAGCTGCGGCGCTACCATGGCGTGCCCACGTACCTGGCCTTTCTGGACCTCGAGTGGGGGTTTGACGCTGCTGTTCACAAAGGGATGTTGGTCAACTTGCACGCGGCGAGGGTGCGGGGCAAGCATTGGCTGGTCCTGGGCGAGATCGTCCGGGAGGACAAGCAGGCCCTGGAACTGCACGGCCTCCTGACCCGTCGGTCGGAAGTGCAACATATGAAACAGGACGGCGTTGGTTTTTCCTCTCTCTGATGGCGCCCATCGTCTCTCACAAGGTCTCCCAAGTCACCCCTCGACGATCTACCGGCCAGAACGACCAGCACCTTCGTACTGGTCTGCGGCCCCGAAGAGCCCACCGACAAAAAAATCAGCGCGACGGGGAACGAATATTTCGGACGCGGTGTGTGAGGGAGGGCTTGGCCACTCTCTGTCCCTTGCACAGAGCTGGCGCCGACGCGTGCAATCATCTCAAAAACTGATTCTGGGGGTCCTGCTTACTGGCACGACACGCGCCACACCGCCACCCTTCCGCAAATTCGCTCGCCGCGGACCGACCCTTGCCTCTGTCGGCGGCGAGCGAGGGGGGGGAAATGAGAAGCAGAAGGCCTCCTGGAAGGCGGCGGGACTTCTCAGAAGCCCTCGCGCCTCCTGAGGAGTCGTTTTTCTGCCTCCGGGGAAGGCTCAGAACACTCCTCAAGAGGCCGGGGGGCTCCCGAGCAGACCCGAGAGGGCCTTCTCCCTCCGGCTCTGCTCCCCCCTCGCTCGCCGCCGACTCCGGCTCTTCGGTCGTGGAGCGGCGGCGCGCGGCAATTCCCCGGCCCCTGGCCAACCGGCCTGGCGGGCCGGGGCGGCGCGGCCGCCCTGTGGCTCCGGAAGGCGAGCCCGTGCCCTCGCCCCGGCGGGCGCTGCGTCTGAGCGCCTCAGGGCTCGCCCGTGCCGCCCTTCGCGGGCGCGCCCTCGGCGGGGAAGCCCATGGAGACCAGCCACTCGTGCACGAGGCTGCAGGGGAACTTCGAGAGGTTGCTGGTCTTCGTCTCGACGACGTCGCCCATCTTCCTCAGGAGCACGTCCGAGATCTCGTCCTCCGCCTCGCTCGTGATGCCGCGCTTGGAGTCCTGCATCGCGAGCGCCAGCACACGCTCGGCGCTGGGCCGTGGTTCGGGCAGCTTCCAACGGTGCAGCAGCAACATGCAAAGCTTGTCGTGCTGCTCATGATCTTCACTCGACATGATCCCCAACTTCCTGGCCGCATACGAGCTCGACATCATGCCGTAGGTCACCCCCAACCTGTGCGGCACGACACCGTCCCCGTAGGCTTTCTCGATGGCGTGGGACACCGTGTGCCCGTACTCGAAGACCATCCCAGACGTCTTCTCGTAAGCGTCTTTCGCAAGGACCGCCATTTTGGCATCGATACCCAAAACGAGCAACTTCATCAAAGCCTCGCCACCCATCATGAACTCATCGCCAAACCCACCGTGGCTGGATTGATACGGTCCCTGGACAACATCTCAGAGACGCCGTCTGCGTACTTTCCTCCGAAAAGGCATGCGTTCTTCAGAAGCTCTCCAATGCCTGAGAACATCTCGCCCCGAGGCAGAGTCCTGCAAAACGCAACGTCAATCAGGATCACCTGAGGTGCATAGAAGGAGCCGATGTTATTATTGCGCCCGTCGTAGCAGATGGAGGTCTTCAGCGAGGTGGTCACGTCGTGCATGGCAAGCAGCGTGGTGGGGACGTAGACCAGCTTCATCCCCCGCTACAGGATGGACGCGAACAGGCCCGTGACGTTCATGAGGGCACCGCCCCCGAAGGCGACGACGACGCTGCGCTTGGTGGCCCCGACGCGGAAGGCCCACCCCATCAGCTCGGAGAGGTGCGCCCACGACTTGCGCGCGTCGCCCGGGGGGAGGGCGAACTTCTCCACGTCGGGGGAGTCCGGTGCACCGCCCCCGGGCAGCCCCTCCACGCAGCCCGTCTCGCCGAGGCCCGCGCAGGGCTGTGGTGGGTCCTGACGTCACGGCTAAGCCCGCGTGGGAACCCTGCAGAGACCCCAATGGGCGCCTCTTTCTTTTTGGGGACGGCTCTGGAGGAGCCTTCTCCGATGACCCCAGGAGGCGTCGATGCGGTTGGTCTGTTGCTGCGCTCAGCCCCGACGGAGCTGGACTGTGGAAAGGCCACGCAGGACTGTTCGGCCCCCTCGAGGGTCGGCAGCAAACGGTGTCCCGCTCTGCGCTCGTGGCCTTTTGTGTCGCTGTCGAAGAAAGCTCGGGGCCTCTGACTTTTGTTGACGACCATAAGCCTCTCCTGAATGGATGGGGGGGGGCCAGGTTGGGCTCGGAGGCCTCCTGGAGCTTGGTCTAGGCGTCTCAAGACTGGGGATATCTGGGCTCGTCTGCGCAGGGCCTTGGAGCAACAACCTGGGCGCGATGTGGCCTTGGTGTGGACCCCGTCGCATCAGGACGAGACGCCTGAGGCCATCACTGACCTTTTTTTATTATGCTTGTGGTAATATAGTCGCGGACGCTTGGGCAAGCCGCGGGGCCGCCAAGAACTGGAAAGCTGTATCTGAGCCCGTCCCCTCACTGACCAATGGGATGCGATTGCTGGCCTTGTCCGTGCGCGTACGAGGGCTACCATCAAGAGCATAGGCTCTGACAAAGTTTTGAGAGGTGGGAGGATGGCCGTCCAGCGACAGGCCCCGCTCTGCACTCGAGCCTTCTGCCTCAGGGCTTCCACCCACAAGCCTGAGGAGTGCGCTGACACGTGGAGGTGCGCCACCTGTGCCACTGTGGTCCACGACTGCCGACTGGAGGAGTCTGCCCTCACCCCTGTGCCCAGGCCCTCCCCCTGCGCCCGCTCCCGCTCAGGGGCCTTTTGCTCCGTCTTGGGGAAGCGGTGGCTGTGGAGGCGGGGGGGGAGAGTACTCAACGGCCAGTCGGCCCACGCCCCACACGCACGTCGTGGAGGCTCCCCGCTGGAGGGTCAGTGTGTGCACGTCGTGCGGGGCGGATGCGACGCTCCGGTTTGTGAATTTATTTTGCTGCCCTGCCCGACGGAGCCAACGCCCAAAGTCGGGGAGGCGCAGGACTCGGGTACGGGGGACTCGGGTACAGGGCTGACGGGGCCATACAAAAAATGACGAGGCCCAATCTGAAAGTTGACGCGAGCTCCCGCTGCAAACATCCCACGCAGATTGGACCGTCAAAATCCAAGACGCGCTCGTCCAAAAACGACGGCAGACCCAGGTTCTGGCTTACTCGGGTCTTACGCTTCCCCGATAAAGGGCGAGAGGTTTTGACCCGTGTGAGCAAGGGCCTGCATCCTTCGCACAAGGGTCCTGCGAAGGCAGCTCTCGAGGCGCATCACCTGGATGCTGCGGAAGCGGCTCGAGCTCAGGCGGTGTCCAAGAACCGCGAGGCTGACGATGCAGGTGCCGTGTTTCCCCCTAGGGGGGCCCTGGACCACCACCTGGAGGGAGATAGGAGGGGCCTCGGGAGGCTTGGGCGTGAGAGCCCCGCTGGTCGGAGGCCCTCGCTGTGGCCAGGAAGCGCTGAAGGGGGTGTCTGCTGGAGTGGTCGGCGGCGGGGGTGGCACCCTGTCGTCGCCGTCGGAGTCGAGCGGGGCCCGCGCGCTGCCCGCGCGCTGGCCCGCGCCGCACTCGGCGAGTTCGGCGGCCACCCCCAGGGCTGCCCCGGGAGGGCCCCCGCCGCCGCCCTCCCTCCCCCTCCTCTGACGAATCTTCCCCGTGCGACTCCCCGTCGCCTTGCACTCGGCCCACTCAGTCCTTCTCCTGCTCCTCCTCCTGCTCCTCTTCCTGCTCAGCATCCTCTCCCCCGACGCGGCGCCTCAGACGGGGCTGCGCAGCTTGGCGAAGTTGATCCTCCCCGCTGGTCTCTCTCTCTCTCTCTCTCTTGTTTTGCTTTTGTTTTCTCTCTCTCTCTCTCTCTGTCGGACGGACCGTTTCGCCATGTCCTGACCTCTGACGGCCGGAGAACAAACTCGCCATGTTCTTCACCCTCGGCCGCAAAGCAACTGCCTGTGATCAAACACTGGCCCTGGGGAGGCGGTCGAGGTTTCGGGGCCAGCGACTGGAACAATGGGGCCATCGGAGATCTGGAGGCTCGCGCCGCGGTCGAGGTTTAGGGACCAGCGACTGGAAACATTGGGGCCGTCGGAGATCTGGATGCTCGCGCCGTCTGGGCCTGCGGGCGTCGAAAGAGAACTGGTCACGGGCGTGAGCGCCTGTAGGGGGCTGCTCTCGGGAAGCAGCCAGTGGCCTGCAAACAAAAACAAACTGCGGCGAGAGGCCCGTCCTGCAGAGGGGTGTCGAGAGTCCTCGCGTTGAACATACAGTCAACCCGTATAGTAGGGATGCGCGGTAAGGATGCAGGGGCCTTGGAAGGCCATGTCGCCACTTGGCGTGCAGGGCGCGGCCACAGAAAGCGGTCAAGAATGGACCAAGGAGGCAAGGATGCAAGGGGTACCCTTGGGAAGGCTGCCTATCTTTACTATGCGAGTTGATTGCACCACGTTCTGACCCCAGGCTGCACATGAAAAACTCGGCAGAAGGAGAAGTAACCCCTGGGTCGGGGCAGACTGGCCCGCTTCACCGCCCAGCCTGATGCACTGCTGGGCTTGACAGAGCGGGGGGGAGGGAGAAACAAAAACAATTCGATGATCCAAGGACATGGGCGTAAATCACTGTACACCCTCCACGGGGGCCGCGTTGCCAAGGGCAGATGCGGCTAAAAAAACAGGAGAATGGCGGTGCACATCCACTCACGATAAGAACGGAAGCGACCAACGTCAAAATCATGGCTGCTGCCCGCAAGAAGATGAACGACTGCCAACCACTCCCTCTGCCTTCTGTCTCCCTCTATCTCTCTCTATCATTACTTCTCCCTCGAAGTGCTTCGTTTCCGTGTCACCGTTCCCCCTTGTCCTGCTCCTCCAACTTATCCTTCGTTTCTCTTTCGTGTTACTGATCATCATTCTCGTCCTTGCCCTCCTCATCCTTCTCGTTTTCCTCCTCCTTGTCCTACAGAAGGGAAGGTCCCAAACAAAAATCCAGCCCAACGGCCAGTGCTAGTACTGCATGATTGGCATAGGGTTCAGCATGTTCCATGCCGCTGCGCAGGCTGTTTCACTTTCAACCATTCCGACGAATCAATGCAGAAGCGGTTGTGTGAACCGTGCACGCCTTTTCCTGGTGAGTTCAGTAATCGCCTGAATAAGGTAACCCTTCTCACGCCCTGTGCTCAGGAAATCGTCCCTGACGGGCTCCTTGACTTTTGCGCGAGGTGTGGCAACCACTCCACCTTAGTATTCAAGGGCCTGCTCGACGAATGCAAAGGGCCGCCCAATAGCGGCAAAAGGTACACAGCCAGAAGGAGGCCTGTAAGCGGCCACCACCCAGTTGACCGTGTGCCCTTCTCCGACGTCGAACACTTCAGCGCCCTGCAATCATTCGGGGGCCCTCAACTTCAGAGGCCGAGAGCCATCGGGCACGCTGGCTGGCACAGCGCATCTTCTGCCCCAAAGTGAAACACGCTAAGAGTGAGTAGAAGAACATGTGGCGGATTCCAGAAGCCCTGAACCCAAACATGTTGACATCTCTTGGGGGCGCATATTGTATTTCCGCCACCTTCCGCCGCCCTTCCGCCGCCTTCCGCCGGCGGAAGCGGCCTCGTTCTACTTCCGCTGCCTTCCGCTGGCCTTCCGCCGAGGAAAATATGACAACTCCTCCGATCCTCGGAAGCAAGGCCCTTTCTGGAACACCTCATGTCGGCGGTGGACAAACCTCCCTTTTGTAAACCACCCTTTAGTGAAAACTGCCTAGGACCGAAACCGACGTACCTGGACCCGCAAAAATGACGGCCGCGACGCCCTCTCGCGAACCCAACACGGCCAACCAATTCCTTAATCGACGCGTCAGGGTAGGAGGTCTATCAACCTCCGATCATGTAGGAATGGGAGCAGGAACCCGAGCACGAGCACCCCCCCCAAAACCCCCGAACGCCCTGGAAAAGCACGCCTGGGGGTGGGCCCCTGGGTGCCTCCACTGGGAGGCCGCGTGAAGCCACGCTGGGCCTCCCACTTGAGGCCCTCCTGTGGGCCCCCTGGAGGGCCATCTCTGGCCGCCTCTGGCCGTCGTCGCCGCCGCCGGCGTCGTCGGCGGCAGCGACGACACGAAAGTGGCCGCTGGCATGCCCCAGCACGCGCTCGAGTAATTAGCACAGCGGGCGTCACCCCTGAAAATACAAAGCATCACGCGTCGAGAGCGTGTTTGCCTCTCTGTGAGATTGGTCAGCTCGCACGAGGCACACCCTGAGCGCGTGCGCGCGCGCGTGCCCTCAGGTCCGGGCGCTGCCATTTGTTTGTTTCACACCGGGCGCCTTCGGCCAGTTGTTCGGGCCCCGCGGGCCCCACGGATCGATTTGGCCCCGCAACGTGCCGCTGCCAGATGGGGTCCAGGGCTGCTGCCGTGAGTCCTCACGTCGTTGCTGTTTTTTTCGCGCAGCCCGTCGACCGCCGCCGCGACCGTCGTCGCCGTCGACACCGTCACCGCCAGCGCCGTCACCGCCGCGGCCGCCGCAACCGTTCGGTTGTCGTCGCCACGGGCCGCAGGGCGGCGGCCAGCGGCGGCCGGCCCCCGCCCGGCAGGCCTGCGGAGGCGATGGCCCCCCAGCAGCTGCTCGGGGAGTTCCTGCGGCGCCTGCTCGCTGCAGCGGCGGGAGCGGCGGCAGCTGGACGGCACGTCGTCGTCGTCGTCGCCGTCGTCGTCGCCGTCCTCCTCCTCCTCCTCCTCCTCCTCCCTCCTCCTCCTCCTCCTCCTCCTCCTCCTCCTCCTCCTCCTCCTCCTCTTCCTCCTCCCTCCTCTCTCCTCCTCCTCCTCCTGCTCCTGCTCCTCCTGCTCCTCCTCTCCTCCTGCTCCTCCTCCTCCTGCTCCTCCTGCTCCTCCTGCTCCTCCTCCTGCTCCTCCTGCCTCCTGCTCCTCCTGCTCCTGCTCCTCCTGCTCCTGCTGCTCCTCCTCCTCCTCCTCCTCCTCCTCCTCCTCCTCCTCCTCCTCCTCCTCCTCCTCCTCCTCCTCCTCCTCCTCCTCCTCCTCCTCCTCCTCTTCTTCCTGACCTGGAAAGGGAAGGGGAGGACAGCTACACCCCGGGAGGCGGGCGAATCAGCCTGGGGACCCCGAACAAAACTAAGCAGGTATACGCATCAACTCTGACCCCATTCCGTCAACGTGCTGTTCTGCATTAGTGCCTATGAATTGGAGCCGCCGTCAGGAACAGTAATCGATGCTTTGCCCACGTCGTACCTGAAGAATGCGAGGAAGTACGCGCCAGGTGCCACGGAGGACCACGGGCAGCACATTCTCTGGGGAGCCAGGGGCGAAGGAGCAATGCAGGGGGTGACGGAGTTGACGGAGTGAAAGCGCATGAGGGACCATAAGGAGTGGTTTCTTGGAGTGCAAAATGAATTTGCGTAGGCGAAGTGCGCTGACATAGCGTGCGCGCAATTTTTTGCGCGGGAGGGTAACGGATGTGCCTGGGTCGTGGGTGAACGGCCAAGTGCTGCGCTGCGACGTTCGCTGCCGAGAGAAAGCGGAGGCCATTGCCAGAAATGTTGGGCTTCGGTGCGAGGTGTGCAAAGCTGCGCGAGAGAGGAGGGAACCCGTTGCGACGTCCCCGGACGACGTGCGACTTCGGGGAAAGAAATTTGTACAGGCCATTTTCGATTTATGCAAATCAGGACATTCGGCGCCACGTCGGGAAGCAAAGAGCAGCGCGGTGGGCAGAGGGGCGAGGAGAGCAGCTGCTCTAGATCGCGGCGGGAGACTCCCGTGCCGCGGGGGGGGACAGAAACGGCCGCGCTCGGTGGAGGACGAAACGCGGTGGCTGGGGTGCCACGAGACGGAGTTCGCAAGCTTGCCGGGCTGGCCCCCGCCGGCAATGGGCATGCCTGTTGCCCTGGCGGGTCGCCGCGTGGATCCGTCGAAAAAGCAGCTGCTGCGGGGGCGCGCTGCGACGATTCATGGATGGGCGCTGCGCGAAAACGAAGTCGCGGGCGATGAAAGCGAGGAGGTTTTGTTAGATATGCCCAAAATGGTTGTTTTAGATTTTCATGCGAAGGACTGGCACCTTCCGGTCTGGCAGCCGGGGCTATACCCAATCTTGTCGTTAGCAGTGCTCGCGCGCGCCGCGCAGGGGCGAACCGCGAGCGCAGTCGCGGCGGATCTTGAAAGAGGGCGCGGCGCAAGTCGGACGTCGAGTCGCGCGGCTGTGTCGCGGGTGCGAAGGCGAGAGAACCAGTTGATGTTCCAGCCTTTTGATGGGGGGCCGTGCGATGAAGGCGACGTGGCTGGCGCAACCTGATATTGCCACGAAACCCGACCTGAAAATGGAGGTGGGGAATGCGCGCTGACGGCACGTCGGACTTCTTGTCCTGCAACAGGAAACGGGCCGTCACGCTCCTCGTAGTAGAAGACTCTCTTTCGGCATTCTTCCTCGAGACGGTCGGCGTCGAGGCCAACAACGCTGCAGTGAGCCTCGGGCAGGTGCTCTTTGAGACCGCCATCCCCGGATGGGGGGGGCGCGGGGAGCGAGTGAACCGAGACGAACAGCAACGCGTTGGAGGGCATGTTTGGGGGCGCGTGCGCGGCAGGGGTGTCGCAGAAACAAGAGCGGGGCAGTGGATAACCCTTATGTAATTTGTGGGCGAGGCGGGCTCGCGGGCAGCACGGGGGGTCGTGGCGTTGGGGCGGGCGGATGGTGCGAGGGGGGGGGGAGAGGCGGAAAGGGCCACAGGCGCGTTGCATAACGAATCCTTGGAGTCGCAGCCATGGCCACAGAGGTAGCACGGGACGGGGGCGCCACAGAGCGGTAGACGAGAGAAAGAATGCCGAGTGCCGTGGCCACGAAGAAGGTGAGCTGGAAGGTAGGAGTCGCAGATGGCCGTCTCCGTCCAGATATCCCGGCCCAGCTGTCTTTCCCATTGTTGGATCTCCTCTTCGGAGAGCTGGGCTCGGAAGAGAACCTTGCGGTTCAGAACCGCGTGGAATCTGCGCTGGTCGCCGAACCGGGCCTGTCGGGCGACTGCCAATTGACGCGCCAACTCCACTTCATTGTATGCTTGATTTTGTCCCCGGCGGGTGCGAGCGGTGGGTAGCCTCTGGTTGGCGTCTTTGGACGCGACAATATCGTCAAGCAAAGTGTCCTCTTCCCAGTCGAATGTCTCGGAGCTTTCGGGCAGGGAGTTCAAAAGGTCCACGGTTGTTTGCCACCCAGCACGCTCTTCTGGGGATAGAGGCGCCCTCGGGGCCCAGGAAGAGCCGATCCGGGGGATCTTCGTGCGGGCAGCAAGGGCGCGATTTGTACCTGTGCGAAGTAGGCGCTCCTGTCGAAGGTGTGGTCGGGGGGGCGACGGTGAAGGTTGACGAAGTCGCGCAATGCAGTGGCGAAGTCTGTCTGGGAGAGCCTCGCGCACGAAACTTCGTAAACGAGGTCAGACCGGGAGAAAGTCCGGGAAGACGTTGAGGATAAGCGGAGGGCGCTCTTAGCAGCCTCCTGGTGCAGAGTGTCGCAGGGGCAGGTGCGTAACGCGTCCAAGTCGTCCGCGGTAATCGGCAGGGTCACGTAGAGCTGAGCGTCAGCGAGGATCTGCTTCGCACGTTGCCGACGATGTTTTTTGTAGATCGGCGGAGGCTATGTCGTGGGCGCGGCGCCACGCGTCGAGGGCGGGGTCGAGCGCAACGTCACCGGGCGAGGACTGTAAAGGGCAAGTGTCGAGAGACAGCTGGAGTAGCGAAGGCCAGATGTCTGGATGTTGCCTAGCCCACTGCACGACAGCGGCGAGACGGAGAGGTTGTTCCCAAATGGGGATGCGCAGCAGCAGGTGGACTTGATCAACGATCTTGTCGATGCATTCGTGTAGGTGAGCGGCGCAGAGTTGCTTGTCGAAAGGTATGCCGAGTACTACGCACCAGGCTGTGATAGTGACAGGGGCGTCAGCGCAGGAGGTGTGGAGGTTCCATGTGGGCAGCCAGGCGCGCAAGTGTCGGTCCGAATCTTCCGGATGCTGCCGAGCCCACTGCTTGATGGAGGCTGCGTGAATTCAGGTGGTCAGGCCACTGAGGCTCCGCTCGCAATGTGGCAGTTGCGTCGATTAGTTGGTGGATGCACTGGGGCCTCAGATTATTTCGGAAGCCTTTGAACGGAATGAGGAGAGCTGCGCACCAGTCCTCGATCGTGACCTCGCCAGGGCCTCTCTGCTTTCGCGCGGGTTTCCAGACGGACAGTCCGCGCCGTAGTTGTGCCTGCCAGGTGGGGGGGTGCATTGTGGGCCCAGTCCTGGATGAACGCGCGGGTGAGGAGAGGTGGCCACTGAGGCTAAGACATGTCGGGGGGGTCTGGGCGCTGGGCGTGCGTGGCAGGGGCGCTGTACATCTGGGCGGTGGCAATGATGATGTGGTCCGTCAGGCGTTGTCGGTGAGCCTCTTCGTAGCTGTCAAGAGGAATGTGTAGAGTGATGCACCAGTCTTCGACGGAGGTGTCCTTGGGTCCTCGTCGGTGGGTCGCCATGGTGCACGTGGACAGGGAGTGTCGCAATTTGAGCTCCCATTCTGTGTGCCGTTGGACCCATGTGCGTATGAAACTGGTAGTGAGGTCGGATGGCCACGCTTGCACGAGTGTCCGAACTGCTGCGAGAATGCGCGTGACGTACTCGGAGCGCAAGTCGTTGCGGCACCCCTTGAAGGGCACGCCAAGGGCGATGCACCAATCTTCGATAGTGATGTCAATGCTGCCGTGCCGCTGCTTCTTTGCAGGGCTCCATGCTTGTAGGCCCGATTGCAGCGTCGCTTCCCAGCCGTCGCCTAGGGGCGCAATCCATGTGGTGATGAAGTCAGTAGTGAGGTGGCGAGGCCATTTGGTCGGGGTCGTGCGGTCCGAAAGCGAGCGTCGTGGAAGTAGGCGCGCTGCTGCGAGAATCCGTTGTATGTACTCGGAGCGCAGGTCGTTGCGGTACCCCTTGAAGGGCACGCCAAGGGCGAAACACCTATCTTCGATTGTGATGTCAATGCTGCCGTGCCGCTGCTTCTTTGCAGGGCTCCATGCTTGAAGGCCCGCTTCCAATGTCGTTTCCCAGCCGTCTCCTTCGGATGCAATCCATGTGAGGATGAAGTCGGTGGTGAGGTGGCGAGGCCATTTGGTCGGGGTCGTGCGTTCCGAAGGCGTGGTTTGTGGAAGTAGGCGCGCTGCCGCGAGGATCCGTTGCACGCACTCGGAGCGCAAGTCGTTGCGGTATCCCTTGAAGGGCACGCCGAGGGCGAGGCACCAGTCTTCGATCGTGCTTTCGGAAGCGCCGCGTCGGTGCCGTTTCTGAGGGCCCCATCCTTGAAGGCTGGATTCCAGCGTCGTTTCCCAGCCGTCTCCTTCGGACGCAATCCATGTGAGGATGAAGTCGGTGGTGAGGTGGGAAGGCCATTTGGTCGGGGTCGTGCGTTCCGAAGGCGTGGTTTGTGGAAGTAGGCGCGCTGCCGCGAGGATCCGTTGTATGCAACCGGAGCGCAAGTCGTTCCGGTACCCTTTGAAGGAGACTCCGAGGGCGAGGCACCAGTCTTCGATCGTGCTTTCGAGAACGCCGCGTCGGTGCCGCTTCTGAGGGCCCCATGTTTGAAGGGCGGATTCCAGTGTCGCTCCCCAGCCGTCTCCTTCGGAC